TGAGTTATTATCCATTATCACTATTGGCTTTGATGTTCAAATTGTCTCATACTTTGCCAGTGGGAGCCCCTTCCAGCTGACACCTATGTACTAGTGATGTATCTCCAGCATTCATTGAGCACTTACTTACTTGTAGCATAAGATGCTCCAGGCTTATTTTGTACATTCCCATCCAAGCTCAGCCCTGATGTCAGCTTTTCCAAAGAACATGAACACAATGTTTAGAAATTGGTATCTGAGCCCCTGGTATGTTCATTGCTATTGGAGTGTCATTATTTCTAGCTCATCAGGTAGATCTAGAAAGTTACCTATCCATTTCTATATTTACTCACTCATATTTAAAACCAGGTGTTCATGCTGATTCTTCCAACTATAATCCCACTCCACAGGGTTCATTCCAGTCTCTCCCTTTTCATATTTGCTACTCCTCTTTCTGACAGTGTGAAGCCTGGCTTCCATCATCCACAACTTAGTTACAGTTGACCCTTAAACAACACAGGGATTAGGGGCGCCAGTGCCCCATTCAGTTGAAAATTCATGTATAACTTTTGACTCCCTCAAAACTTAAGTCACAGTCTACTGTTGACCAGAAGCCTTACCAAAAACATAGTCAATTAACACATATTTTGTATATGTATTATATACTGTACTCTTATAATAAACTAGAGAGAAGAAAATATTATTAAGAAAAGCATAAGGAAGATAAAATATACTTACTATTTTTAAAGTGGAAGTGGATCATCATAATGGTCTTCATCCTTACCGTCTTCATGTTGAGTAGGCTGAAGAGGAAAAAAGAAGAGAGGTTGGTCTTGTTGTTTCAGAGGTAGCAGAGGCTGAAGAAAATAAGCACATACGTGGATCCAGGCAGTCTGGATCCAATATGGGATCCAAACAACCCATATTGTTCAGATGTCAGCTGTGCTTATTTTCTCAATCAAATAATTGGAAATATTAGGGTTGTCTGTTTTCTAGTTCTGGTGGAGGCATGGATTTTATGTTATTCTATTTGTTCTTCTCTTTGAATTGTACATAGTTTTTGGAGTATGTCCTAGGAAATTTAGATTGACATGACTGTCACTACTACAGCTACCTCAGAAGTGAGAATACTTTTTTAACACTTGAAGTGAAATACATAGTATTACAAAAGAAACCTACGGTATTGAAATACACCCAAATATTTACAAGCTTATTCTATTAACATGGTGGCAGGAACAATCACCACCACAATTTTGAAGTAGTAATCAGCATTAATCATATTTTGAGATAACTCCAACAAATGCAATGTAACATGAAAATATTTGTTATTTCTATAGGTAACAAAATCACAGACAATAAAATACTACTGTGGCTTGTTGTTTCTTTCATAATTGAAGATTGTGCTAAACTTCAGTTACAGTTTAGAAAAAAAAAAAAAAGATGGGATCTTTTTCCCATCCAAATGGAGAAACCCCTGAATTCTATCCACAGACTCTCTCAGAGTTCTAATGGCACCTCTTTGCCTGAGAAGCTTTCACAGATGCCCAAATCATCTATCCAGCTGAATTCAATCCCTTTGGGGCTGGTAACCCAGTTTCATGCACAGGAACAGAACATACCCTCCTTGTGGTTTCCCTTCTCCCATTCCCTCATCTACTTTCCCCTCTGGGACCTTGTGTCAGTTATTATACTATAACAGAGGAGGCTATGAGGGGAGATGACCCTGTAGCCACCACTATTTCAGACATCAGATGTTGCTTTTGGCCAGTGGACTTTTATCTCTTCCTCTCAGCAAGCATGGGCAAGGTGTGAAGTGTTGACTTTATCAACTCAGCTTGTCAGCCTGGACACTTCTCAGCCCAGCCCAGAGTGGAGTGCTCCAGTCCCCAGAGCCCCTCATCTGTCTCCTACAGTGGAAGGGCACAGCACTCTAGTCCCAGTGACCTTGGCAAATCGCTTTGTTGCTTTGAGCCGGTTTCTGAGGCAAATAATATGCCCTCTCTAACTCAAAACGCTGTTGAGAGAACAAAACGAGACCTGTGTGTGAAAGCACAGTGTAGAGTGCCTTACTAATGTATGACATTCTTTTACTGTGACTCCCTCATGCATACCCTTGGTAAAAATGACAACACAAAAACTTCCAACTCCCTGCTCCAGAGAACATAAAACCCCACAAATATTGTCTTCTTCAAATAATTCCCCTGGGAGTTTAGATTGCAATGAAAGCTACAGAATCCATTCAGAAGATGTATTAAACATTTAGCCATTCGGTGATTATTTACTGAAGCAATTTGAGCAAAACACTATACTAGTTGAATTTATAAATATAAAATTTCCTTAAAAGGTTTAACTATGTAATTTTGCAAGAGTTAGTTATACCACTTCCCTTCCCATAACTACACATTTGTAATATATTTGAGAAGGGGAAATCCTGCTACGTGGACATTGATTTGCAACAAATTATAACTCCTACACAGAAAAGAGTTGGAAAAACTATACCAAATTATTAAGCCATGGCAATCTACTACTTTAGAAATAGTTGTAGTTATACCACAAGAATCAAGTAGGTTCTCCAAACTTAACATATTTTAATACTCCTCTGACTTAATTTTTATCAATAGACAATTCTTTATTTTTATTTTTATTTTTTTTGTTGAGACAGAGTCTTGCACCGTTGCCAGGGCTGGAGTGCAATGGCGCAATCTTGGCTCACTGCAACCTCTACCTCCTGGGTTCACGATTCTCCTGCCTGATTCTCTAGCCTTAGCCTCCCGAGTAGCTGGGATTACAGGCACCCACCACCACACCTGGCTAATTTTTTGTATTTTTGGTAGAGATGGGGTTTCACTATGTTGACCAGACTGGTCTCAAACTCCAGACCTCGTGATCTGCCCGCCTCTACCTCCCAAAGTGCTGGGATTACAGGTGTGAGCCACCAGGCCCAGCTGAAATGATAATTCTTTTATCCCCTTTTTTTTTTCTTTAGCTATAGATCTTCTGGGGGAAGAAAGATAAAAGCAGAGCCCAAAATTTTCTTGAGAAGTGAAGAAGACATTACACTGATTTTTTAAAAAATCTGAAATAGTCTGTTTCTCAAACAGCAGTAAAAATAAAGTGTGTGTGTGTGTGTGTGGTGTTTAAAATTCTGTGTGCATGTTTATATTTCTTGATATAGAAAGAAAACTTTACATATACAGAAAAAAATGGGGAAAATGCACTAAAATATTGAATTAAGTGTTATAATCATTACTATCTTCTTTTTCTCTATGTTTTTTCTCGAGGAAAAATTACTTTTATAAGCAGGAAAAAAGTATATGATTTTTGAAAAGGATTCAAAGGAAAAATCAGGAAATAATATTAAGAAAATAAAGTCCAGGCTGGGCGCGGTGGCTCACACCTGTAATCCCAGCACTTTGGGAGGCCGAGGCAGGCGGATCACCTGAGGTCAGGAGTTCGAGACAAGCCTGGCCAACGTGGAGAAACCACCCGCCTCTAACTCAAAATACGCAAATAATCTAGGGCCCAAGGCATCCGGTGGTGGAGTGCTTGTATTCCCAGCTACCTTGGGGATTTGAGGCCAGGAAAATCCGCTTGAAACCCGGGAGGCAGAGGTTGCAGTGAGCTGGATTTGTTGCCCACTGATACTCGCCAGCCTGGGTGATCCAAGAGTGAATAAGAAAAAAAAAAAAAACAGGAAAAAAGGGGAAGGAGTGGAGGGGAGGGCGAGCCGGAGGAGGAAAGAAGGAAAGAAGGAAAAGGAAAGAAGGAAGGAAGGAAGGAAAGGAAGAGAAGGAAGAAGGAATGGAAGGAAGGAAAAGGAAGGAAAGGAAGGAAAGGAAGGAAAGGAAAGAAAAGGGAAAGAAAGAAAGGAAAGAAAGAAAGAAGAAAGAAAGGAAAGAAAGAAAGAGCAAAAGAAAGAAAC